ATAATAATAATAATAATGATAATAATAATAATAATAATAATAATAATAATAATAATAATAATAATTAGGGCTGCACAAAACTTGGTTAACCGACAAACACTGAAATTTTGGCTTGGACCGGAACAGAAAATAAATTTTTGATTCGCTTTTCGATTTGTATTTTTTTTTTTTTAAATTTCAGTTTTCGATTCGGTTTGAATATAAATGGCCGGTTAACCGAACCAAACTACAAACCGATCTATATATGTAAATTTTAAAGGCCATATATTACGCAAGTTCATGTTCATACTTTTTAGGCCCACTAGTGTATGCCCCGTGCGATGCACGGGAACAATATTAAATTAACAATATTATAAAGATACCTAGAGTTTGAGTCACTCAATGGCGGAAGTGGAAACTACTATTGATCCTATTTAAAAAGACGAAGAAAAAAATATTTATAAATTAAAGAGGAGGATAAAAAATATTTAATAATTATAAATTAAAGATTCGCGATCAAATAATGTAAAATTATTTTGTATAAGAGAATATAAATTTTACATTATTTTGTACAAGAGAATATAAAATTTATATGTTTAATATTAAAAACACCTAAAATATTATATTAGTATATGTAAAAGTATTCAAATTTTCTATATTATTTCTGAAAGATATGAAGTCACTTACAACTTTTTCTAAACAATTTTAGAAGGAAAACATATCTAAAAACATTTGAATTTAACATTGTGTAAAAAAGATTTTTTTAGATTATTTTGTAAAGAAAACATGTCTACAAATATTTAAATTTAATATCAATTTTGTACATGAGTATATGTATATATATATGTATATATAGACGAATATGTAAAAAAAAATGTCTAAACAATTTGTTTAGAGTATCTAATATTATAAGCCTAATTTAATCAACACATTAGGTTAGATGATATCGAATTTATGGTGCTACTTCTATCTAAAAAAAATTGATTACACAAAATTTCAAAATTATTATTATACTTTTTACATTGTTATCGAGGGTGTATTGTTAGCTTATAATATTTGTAAAAAATAAGAGATAAACTCATATAGATTCATACTATGAGATTTTATAAGCTATCAATTATTTTTTTAATATGATTTTGTAATGATAGATTTTTATAAAATATCAACATAATCTGTTATTTTGTTAACCTATAAAATAGGAAAAAGGGAATGTTGTAGCACAAATTATTCATTTTACCGAGTACCGAATCGAAAGATTCGTTCCCCGGGTCGATCTCACGAGGAAAGCGGTTCGAAATTTAGCTTTGATATTGACAACATATAAAAAGAAAATAAATCCTAAACAATCTAATCGGATAGTAGATTGGATGAATTATTAACTAAGAAACAAAATAAAAATAATAATCTACCTAAAAATATAAACGAAATAAAGATGGAGAAGCTAGGGAATCGGGGATAATTAATTCAAGTTCTAGCAAAACCGGGCAATCAATTGTTCGATTCAAGATTGACACTCTTGCTTATACATCTAGCGGTTCGCTCCCAATAACTCTTCGTAACAAGGGATTGAACATAGACGAACAAGTTCGAGCATACAACACAGGCCAATTATCCCAATCCCAATAACTTTTCGTAACAAGGGACGGGTCATCGACAAGTGCGTATTTCAATCTAAAACATATAGACTATTCAGTTATGAAATTATCTACCTCATGCGAGCCTAGATCTACGACTTTTCCCCTTTCGGTTTAAAGTTCGCTAATTAAATTAGAAGAGAATTAATCAACTAATCATATGGAATCGACAAACCCTAACTCGACAAATTAACATGCAATTGTTTCCAACTGCAAGATCGAAGTGTCACTCTTCGATTATATCAATCAATCAAACAAGAACTCATCAATTCCTAATCAATTCAACTCACATAAGCATGAACAAATCGAAGCCCGACAATTACACGTTAAACAAGAACAATCATCCCCTATCCCTAGCAATCGGATTTAGCTACGAATATCAAATTCTACAATCATGATCAATCCTCTCAATAATCATTATTCATGAATCATATAAGAGAAATGAATACTTACAATCAATCCAAGTTCCAGTCGAATTCGAAATACAAGCTAAACCCTAACTAAGAAGAAGAAGAAGAAGAAGAAGAAGAAAAATGGAAAATAATGGTGAAAAGATGAAGAAAAATTGAAGAAGAAGAAGAAAAGAGAAGAAGAGAAGGAGAGAGTCGTGAAGTTCTTTTCTCGGACCTAGGTTTTCACCTGGTCGAGATGTGTCTCGAGTCTTGGACAAGTTCTCCTTTATATGGTTCGAAAAACCGAGCAAAAACGAGAAAGAACGAAAAAAAAACAATTCTGCGCCCGCGACCAGGCCATAGCGGCGCTATGGGTCACGGGGCTTGGGCGTCTGGCCGTCGCTATGGGCGCGCTTCGCTGGTAGCGCCGCTAGGTGGGTTGGCCATAGCGGCGCTATGGCCCGGCAGCCTTGCACGATTTCACGGTTTAGGCTCGTTCGGGCTCGTTTGGACTCGGAATTCGATTCCGCTTTTTCCTGTGTGTTGCCAACGAACTCCTCTATTTAATTATGCTTGTACAATAAGCTTTTGCCCATAACTAGGTCCTCCTGAAGCTTCAAATCTACACACCATAAACAAAGAAAAAAACTGGAAAAACACACAAAAACACAAGAAAAACCGAAATAGACCAAATCAAGTAATAAACTACAAAAACGAATAAAACCCAACAAACATACTCAATATGGGAGAAAAAGAAAGACAAAGAGACAACGAAAAAGCAACAAGAATAGGACAAACAGGGAACCATCAGAAACAACTAATCAATTATTAATTTTCTTATAAATCGAGATAAGACTGTGTATTGTTGGAGTTTAAATCAATGTTTATCAACAATACCGAGCTTTGAGGGAAGTTATCACAATGTATATGGCTACGAAAAGAAAAAAAAAAGAAAAAGCGAAAAAAATATCTATACAATTAATCAGCCGACATTGTAACAATTATCAATGGCGTTTTTAATACCAAAAAATTAGGTGATTTGTTCCCTATCTATCAAAAAAAAAAAAAAAAAATTACTATGTTTTAGGATTTGTTACACTATCTATCCAAAAAATCAGGAAAGATAATCTACATAGAATACCTATACAGAATTGGCGGGTGAATACATATACATAATTGGCGGGTTTTTTTTAGCGGGCAATTCCTAAATTGTTATTCTTTTAATATATAGATAGATATATTATATTATAAGGTGTTGAAATAAATAGAGGCACAAGATAGGCTTAGGCCAATTATTAATATATAAGCCCATTCCTATCTCCTCATATGCTCGCCATCATCTCCTCATCTCCGATGGCCGCGCTCGGTGCATAGAAATCCCAAATCTCCGCCGTGATCCCTCTCCCGCACACACTCCACTCGGCACTCGACGACACTAGGTTCTCAAATAAGATCGCCACCCAAATCCTCTCCTACGGGCTGCACGCGATTGGACCAATTCAAGCTCTCAAGGATGAAATCAGTTTCTCTCTTTTCCCTCTTGATTATTATTATTATTTATTATTATTTTTTGGTTAAATTATATAGGTTAATTATTTATTTGAAATAGTGTGTGATACTGTGATGTATTTCGTTGAAATTTTTATGCTCCTAAGTAAAAGAAAATTCGTAGCTGCAATATTTGGCTTTTTCTCTTTTCCTTCTGCGATTTTCCTGGGATTTGGAGAAATTATAACTTATGATTTTTTTTTTCATTTTATCCTATAACTGTTAATCAAACCGAACCAACCGATAGATTTTCAGTTAAAAACCAAACCGAACCATGAATTTCGATTCGGTTTTCAGTTTGATGGTTGGGAAAACCAAAAATTCGGTCGGTTTGGTTCGGTTTGGAACGGTTGAACAGCCATAATAATAATAATGATTAATTGAGTTTGTATTATGTATGCCGTTATTAGTGATGCATTATTGAGTTTGTATTATGTATGCCGGTATTAGGACCATCGGATTTGGGATTTAGGAGTATGTACCTTCTGACCATGAACCTTCTCTCTTTTCTCAAAATCTCTCTTCTGAAGATTTCCGTTTTAAGATGGCCATTTGAAGTTATGAATCAATCTCATTGCTGATTCGCTCGAAAATGTCTGATTGGTGATTACGAAACTCTTTATCCCATACGAGTGAGAGAAGAATTAGGTTTAAGAATGGAAGAACGATGTTCCGTGAACAGCCCTCGAAGAATACTGAGCTTCTCCAAGAATCGGAGGGCCAACGTGTCTTTTCCCGATGACGCCGATGGCCGCCCGGGATTCGAAGTCTCCGGCGAGCACGACCCCAAGCCCTCTGAGGTCTATGGATTTGTGGGCTCCATCACAACCGTTGTCTCCACATGTTAGTTTTCTTTTTTCGTTGTTTCTTTATATACCTCGATCAGATGCTACTAACCCGTGCAGTTACATTTATGTGATCTTC